TGAACGCGCTAATCTCCGTAACTACGAGTCTGATTTGAATAATTATTTTTATGTTGGATAGCGCATTTATCGAGGATGGCTGTAGGCTATAATCACATCACGCTACGACCAATAGGAGCCGAGCAGAACGTGTGAAACCGCGCGGAAGTAGCTAGTAATTAATAACTGTGTGCTGACAGATGCCATATGACAGACAGACCTACATTAGATAAAGAACTTCGATAAATTATGCTAACTGTGCATAAATCACTAAAGAGTCCATGAAAATCCATTATAAATAGAAGAGTAGATCCGATTTCATCGAATTCTAAGATCCGATTTCATAAAACAGCATATGATTCGTACCAGTTTAATACGATAGGATCGCATTAAACACGTAAAAGGAGAACGTGATGGAAATTGCAATATAATTTGATATTCCCAACATTCCGGAAAAGTGGGAAAGTCAAATAAAATCACTTTGACATTTACCTTGTAGGTCTGCGTTTTATTTCGACAGTTTTATTACTTTACTGCTGGGGAATATAAAAATATAACACCGTATTTCTACTTTTGGTTAAAATCAATCATAATAACTTACTCAGCGCTCTTCAAAATCTCAGTTCGAGACAATAATATTTTATGAGTCGCACATAAATCCAACAAATAAGCCGTAATTCAAAAAGTATTTTCAAATATTCCACAGCTAAGGAGCTTTTTACATTAGATATTTATTGAACAGTCTAGAAATGTGACAAATTATTGATCAGTTAATTATTTGCTACATAGTGTTTTCTAGACTACATTCAGGCAGACAGACATATGTACAAGGAATTACATGCCATAAGTATTAGCTACTACAATTTTGTATTTTATGGCGTTTTTAGGGGGGGGGGAATCATCGATTGACTTCTCCCGCCTGGGTGAGGCGAGAGGGAGTGTCAGACTCTTACTGACTAAAAGCCACCCCGTTCCTACTTCTGCACTTCGAGCCGGAGCACTGATTACCAGTTACGTTCTCCGCGCCTTCCTATCAGCATCAATCCTATTGGGTCCCATCCGTGGTTGTCTGATGGGTCTTTGAGGCGCGCGCGAAAAACTACGCTCGGGTCTGGTTTTGGTCGGGCGACGAACTACCCATGCTCGCCGTCCGCAGGCCCCTGCTCACGGTGATCGTCTCGCAATCCCCGACGCCCAGAGTGTCCTTCGCAACGGCTGGGTTGTGAGGAGGTTGCTATTTTATTGCTAGCTTTTATGTTGCTATTGTTGTTATTTTTTGTTTTAGTGGTTGCTTTTTTATAGCGTAGCTTCACTTTTTTTGTAGTTAAACAACTATCCATAATATTTACACAATTTTATTATTATAAACATTTATACCTAGTAGGTATTTGCGTTTATATTTTGTTTAATGTTGAACTAAGCATATACGAATAACAATATTTCCCAAGAAAATTCCGATTCACGTTTAAAATCAAATCTTCTGCTCAGAGCCAAGAAAATAAAAACTGACCAAATGAAATCTTGGAAACTGGGGAAAAGTCTCGAAAATGAAGTTGGAATTACAATAGAGCTTATACCGTACTGTATAATCTGCGATGTGTTACGGCTAGTTGACGATAGTTTTCTATTTTACTTTTCTATCGTTCGACTTGTTTGAAATGTTAATGAAGTTCGTTGTTAGTTCATGATTCGGGAGTTACGAGGTCAACTGTTGATCTCGTGAGGTTGCGACTTCGATTCGATAGGATTCATATTTTTAGCATTTATTTTTGGAAATCTTCAAATTACACGCACAGAAATACCGGGTGAAACCGGAAAACTGGGTGTGACATTGTACAGTGGCATTAAGTGCCATAATATGCACCTCTGCCTACCCCTTCGGGGATAAAAAACGTGATGTAGGTAATAAAGAAATAGGAATCGTGCCTTGTGATTAGCAATGGCTGCTTGAGGCTTGCGAACAATAGGACTACAAAACTTCTAACTGCCTAGTATACATACGAAAGTACCTATATGTCTAGCAACAAACATGTTGTTAAACAAGTTTATTAATTAGTAGACTATAATGAACACTACTATAAGTAGACACATATATACCAGTATGGAGTGTATAAGTTAGTGCAATTAAGTGTTTCCCGAGGGCGCAGTACGGCAGTATGTTCCACAAACTTGGTTAATGTAAGGGCTCTCTGCAGGTATTTGATAATTGTTGGGGAACCGATCAATTGTTAGCTTAGGACGCTGGACGTGTGAGCTTATTTATGGCGCCCTCTGGCCGTACACGCGCCACGGTGACTTATTGCTTTGCAGACCCTTAAGTAACTTCTTACACACATTACATAATTATAAGTACGTATATGTATACAATAAAATTACAAAGAGGAAAGATTAGATTTTTTGTTTGTCTTGTTATATGTTTGAATTGAATAGGCTGCAACTGTACTGGTCCGATTTGAAAAAAAAAATTACCGTTGGAATCCTAAATTATCCTTGACATAGGCTATATTTGATAAGAGAAAAAAAAGGAACCGTGTAAAAAAATAAAAAAAAGTTGATAATGTAACCTGATGAGTGAAAAATCACCTTATATTGATTACGCTGTGGAAATTATAGACAATAGAGCAAAGTGATGTACTAGGGTCTTATAGAGGACATTAGTATAAACGTTAAAGTGTGTGATATCATATATCTAACTATTACAGTTATGGCATAATGCAATAGTACTACAACTACAATGGAAATGCAAAAGACTAATTCAAAAACGTAACTTTTGCCAGAAGTCATTATAATACGCGGACGAAATCGCGAGGAACAGCTGGTATCTCATGAACATGGTATAGGAAGCAGGGAGGAACCACTGTTATAGAAATTACTGGTTTATTTTTCGCTTCGAAACATTTCAAGATACCACATTAGGTGCTAACAAATTCCGATATGGAGCCGCGGAAGGCCTTAGGCCTAAGGCTCTGGCTCGAAGAGCAGGATTAGGAACGGGGTGGTTTTTACTCAGTAAGAGTCTGACACTCCCTCGCGCCAACCCAAGCCAGGAGAAGGCATTGGATGAAATCATCCCCCTTAAAAAAAAAAAGGTGCTAACAAATTAGGTGTAGACATTTAGCATTTAGACACTTTAATTTAAAATTATTCGTTTTGGCATTTAACTCTTTAAGTCATGCCGATATAATAACTCAGTGTATGTATGGTAATAAATCAAATCGGACTAAAAATATTATTGTAAGTATTTTTATTGACACGTATTCAGTGTTACTTAATCTTATGCATCGTATTATTAGACTATGTTTAATTTTTGACTGCATTGTTATCGGTGCAAAATCAAAAAACTACGTATGTAGTGGTTTGGGGAATTTTTCTGTTCGGAAATTCTTTGCCAGAGTATGTTTCCTGACGGGTGTCTTCAAGGTCCGAGTGAATAGATTGCTTACAGACACACTGCTCCATCGTAGGCTGCATCATCGCTCACCACCAGGCGAGATAGTGGTCAAACGTCGGCCCATCAAACATATATAAAAAAGGAAACTTATAAGTAGGTCAAGTGAAGCTTGAAGAAACCTTCTTGTATAGTGCATAAGGTCACATATAAACCACTAGTCTTATTAAATCCCTTATATTTTTATCTCCTAACACACGTGTCGTTTATTATAAATAAATTATCATGAACCTCCATTTACACGTGTTGATAAAATCTTTCATGTTTTAATCTCACCTACGTTTTTGCTCAGGTGATTCTCTAAGGCAGCTTATTGCGTCCCTCTTTGACCCGGCTTTGAGCTTCACCTTCCGTAACAAAAGACACTCAACTTTTAAAGATAACGCCCCCATGAGCATTTGAAAGTCAACGGACCAAGACGTGTGTCGTGTTAAAGAAAACAAACTTATAGCTTAAGAAAACATGTCAACGTATTTTTGTTTTCAAACGTTCTTGTAATTCAGACTCTGTGTTGATACAAAAAGTTTGAAAATTAAATGCCCAATTGATTAATTTTTCATGTCATTAAAACAAAGAAAAAAATCTAATTATATTAGTGCTATAAGCTCATATTCAAAATATATAACTAATGGTCACAAAATTGTCGATACGGAGTCGCGAAGACTTAACGGGTTGCCGGGGCTCCGGTTCGAAGGGCAGGAGTAGGAACGTTTTTAGTCAGTAAGAGTCTGACACTCCCTCCCTCCCGAGAAGTCGTTCGATGATTTTCACCCTTAAAAAAGTGGTCGCAAAATTATAAACATCTTAGTATAGGTAACACATTCATTTAAAACTTAATGGTTTAAATTAATAATTTTGTTTAAAACTTGTCACACCGATTTCTACGGGTGGATGGTGTGGGTTCCATCAGTGAGTGGGAGTACCCACTCACTTATTAGTAAATAATAGTTATTTAGTTTTTCCTTTTTATTTGTTTTTTAGTCTTTTTCGAGATTAAACAAACAGCTCCATCGAGGCTTAGCTAGTTTTTGCAGAATGGTGGTTTTTGGTGGGACATAATTTTGACGCTCTACACGATGTCACCGCGGCAGATTACCGCACTCACATCATGGGTGAAACGCGTGCGCATTCGCTTACGATCACTAGAAGCAAAATCTGTCACCAACTAACAGGCTAATTAATAACTCGCGCGGTCGATCGCAAGTGTTCAAACAAATAATTAACAAGTGCCCGTGCGTGAAATAAATAATTCGTTTTGCTGTAATGTCCTAATGGATACCTAAAAACTCTTTTATAAGTGCAAATAAATTCATAGTGTGACATGTCAGTTGTTATTACAATAAAGAAGATGATGAATCGAAAACATTGTATCGGTTTTGTGCTAACATGCATGGTTATTTTATTCACATTTTCTTATGATCTGGATAACAATACGGAATCGATATATTTTGAGCGTTTAAAACGATCAAATATTTCATTAAAATATGTTCTGGTTTGGACGTCACTTAAGACTGAACCATTAATTAATTTACGAGTAGCTAGAAAGACATTCATTCAGAGATCATGTCCTGTTATGAACTGTTTTGTGACGGGAAACAGAGAGTTGTTGCAAGACATAACAGAGTTCGATGCGATAGTGTTTCATGCTCCAGAATTCGTACAGAAGGGAGTGAGAGAGTTGCCACAGCGACGTAAGTCACACCAGAAATATATCTTCACTAGTATAGAGTCCCCAGCATATTATCCGATCTGTAATGAGAAATTCCTGAACTTTTTCAATTGGACATGGACTTACAAATTGAACTCTGATCTAAATTATGCTTACATGTCTGTGTGGGATAAGAATGGTAATGTGATTGGACCTAAAGACGAAATGCATTGGATGAAGGTGGAGGACATGTTGCCAATAAATGACACTTTGAAACAAATACTGAATGGAAAGACGACGGCAGCTGCGTGGTTCGTATCCAACTGCAGAGCACGAAGTAGACGAGACTCGATTGCCAAAAAGCTACAAATTGAACTGCAGACTTATGGTATGCGATTGGACATATATGGTTCTTGTGGAACCATGAAGTGTTCAAGGTCGAGTATGAATAAGTGCTTGAGCAAATTGCGAAATGATTACTATTTTTATTTGTCTTTTGAGAATTCGTTCTCAGAAGACTACGTGACGGAGAAATTGTTGCATGCACTTGAGAACTACGCTGTACCAGTGGTGTATGGAGGCGCTAATTACACGAGGTAATTATGAACTGCACCTTGTGTTATGAAACCCGTCTTTTGATCTTATAGCTCTTATAGCTCTAACTGTTGCACTTTGGCCGCGCAGAATATGAGTTTTAGGGATACAACTTTTTTGTTTCAATTTTCCAAAATAAAAGTAGCCTATGTTACTCCGTAGTACATTAGCAACCTGCCAGTAAGTCCAGTTTCAAACTGGTTCAGTCATTTCGTAGATTAGCCAATACAAACAGACAGAAAGAGAGACAAAAAATTAAAAATTGTTATATTGGTATATGTATCATATACCTCTATATATTCAAATGCATAAGGTAAAAAACAGTTATTTCAATATTACAGAGAGACACGCCAAATTTTATATATTTGTATAGACGATTAGATTGAATTAAATTAAAAAGTATGCATACTTCTCTTCCAATATGCGTTCAAATAATTGGCTGTGACATATGTTATTAATTACATTTTACACAGTTTAGGAACTGCCACTCCAGCTAAATAAATTAATGCGCTCACGCACGTACGGTCAGATAAACAATCTAACAATCATTGTTTTGGGTTCTATTGTTTTAATAAAGGCAACATGCCTTCAAATTGTAATGTTTTTGTTTTATGTTCCGCACACAAAAGTGATTACTAATTCAGTTACGTCTATTTGTAGGCACCCAGTACCTACGCAAATGCATGTGGTTGAAAACGCTCGCTTAACACGTTCTATATAAACATAAGCTTCATTATATCTTATTTAATTTCAGATTCATGCCCGATGGAATATACTTGTCTGCAAACACGTTGACAATAAAGGAACTAGCCAAGAAAATGGTGGATATTATACAGAACAAGGAGTTATATTATGAGTACTTCAAATGGCATAATCATTACAGTTACCGGGATATAGGGGCTTCCGTAACTACTGATCCTTATTGCAAATTGTGCGAGGCAATCAATAATGAAGAAGAAATGTCAAAAAGAACTATCTATAAAGATATTGGAGGGTGGTGGAGCCCCAAGGAATGCCAGGTTAAGACTAATCTAACTCCTTTAAACGAGCAATCTTTGTATATATTTATCAACGATCTCGGAAACGGCTCCAACGAAAATCTTGTAATTTAGTGTTTAGGGGTTTAGGTGCAATAAATGGATCTAGCTAGGTTTCATTTTCAATACTTGTGCGCAAACCACAGTAAAAACCTTCGTTCTTCCCATAACCGTCTTCTCCAATGTCCCACTCATCGCACTGACTTTCTTCATTCTTCCTTTTTCGTGCAGGCAATTTTGCTGTGGAATGCGCTCTCCGCGGATGTCGGGACAGGTGTCGACACGTCTAATATTTAGGCAGAAAGTACGTGAGCTTCTCTTGAAGAGGTTGGCTGAATCATCACGGTAATTATTTACAGAGTACATGTATGTATGTATATATATATTATTATTATTATATTGATTTATGTTCGTATCTGAAATATGTTAGTATAATCTTCTATTTTCTCAATTAAATCGTTGCTTGCTTCTTGCTCCTACCATTCACTCTTCTCTGCATCACCCAAGGGTCAGACTGGGAGAAAATGCTTGCGGCATTAAGTCCACCTTGTGTACACTTTGTGCATGAAGCGTTAATAAATAAAATATAAAAAATGTCGCTTACAAAACACAAAGTTCCTTAAACATAAAGTTAGGCTACCCTACATGATTATTAAAAATATTACAAAATTAATTTACTTATGTTTTTATTCTTTGCCAATGAAGTACGCACATACCTACGTATACCCATAACACAAAATTAATTTCCCGTTGACAATTACAATTGACAATTACCCGTTGAGGAGATCCCTTAACAATTACACTTCTTCATCATGAGACCCTTAATAACAGTTCCACACCATCTGGTGTAAAGTTGTCATCACAATTTCAAAACAAATAAATTAAGCAAACACACAGACCGAATCTTAACAAATCACCCTTAACCAATTAAATTAGGTACTGGCCAACTAGTCAAATTCAATACTTTTTTCGAACGGTCAAAAACGACAGTTTTCTATGAATATTGTACGAGATTGTGTATTGTGACGTGTGAGTCAAACAGCATAGTTATTTTTTAAAAATTTGTTGGAATAAACTAAAATCAAGTTAGTCATAAAACCAATTTATGATAGTGTGATTATTTTTTTTATATTTAAAAATAAATAATCAGACTATTATTGTGTTGAATTTATTATATTGTATTGAACAGACGAAATAATTTAGCTTTGATTGAGGAAAGTACCCAATTGTAGATTTATTTTTTTATTGAAAAATATAATAGATGCATTACTCTTGCCTACAATTTTCGAAATTTTCCATCTGTTTCCCTAGGATTCCATTATCAGATCCTGATTTAGTGAAAATAAGACCCTCTCGGGAGTATCAACTTTCAAACAAAAAACTTTTGATAATCAGTTCACAATTAGCGTTGAAAAATTAAAAATGACAAACATCCAAACTGTACCACCTCCTTTTTGAAGTCGGTAATAATATTCACTTCATAAACAAAAAACACCACTATTAGACACAATTCATAACCACTACTATAACTTCCCACCACGATTCACTTCCCTAATCTAAGATGCAACACGTACCTCAGTTATCCATCTTAAGAAAAACGAAGTGGGTCATTCGAGACACCCTGGGGGCTGTTTGAGCGCACGCCCCACGCCATCTATCCCTGGAGCGCTCCCGAGCCAATACCGTATATATTTAACGCTCCATTGGACCCTATAAATCAAATTTCCCATCGACTAGCCTTATCTAAATCACTTTCCCATACCACATTTTGTTTCATAAAAAAATCTAAGCTAAAATTAACTCGTAACATCATAATATGTCAACCATTTTGAAATATCTGTCAGTGTAGCCACAACGAAGGAGCCTCTGACTTGGCATGCTATTAAAACTGTAAGCTTTGTTTTAATAGTTTGCAGGGTTTAAGTGAAGACAGAATTAAAACTAGAGGCAGTTTGCTGAAAATGACAGAGGTAATTATTTCAGTGCTTTACTATGTTTCACTTAAATAGTTAGGTTAGGTTTCTGAATAATGAGTTGCCAAAATACGTTTAGTTAGTATTTAGTTACCTTAATACCCAAACCATGTACCTGTTCTAAATTCAGAAATAACTAGTTAGAAATTTTCAAGACTACCTATTTCTTTACCTAATTAGTTCGAGTTCGAGATGAAAATGAGAACACATAGTAGCACTAAGCAGAACGTTCATCAGCAATAGCCGAAACACAATACACCAACATGATTCCACGTAAGCTCTCAAGTCTCACAGGTATATGATGCTGACGGCAGGAAAATTGAATAGACAATGATATAGAGGGAGCCACTGCCACTACGTGTAGTACATGATTCGGGACGGATTACGTACGGTGAGCACTAAGCCGCATCAAACTGAACACGACACGTAATATAGACTGAATAGCTGAACCATCGGTGCTAACAATCTCTTCACTTGCTGAATCATTCTTACCTATGTAGATTTTCGACTTTATTCTTCTACAATTAAAGTTGTAAATTGAAAGTTAATTTCAGCAGGTCAAGGAGTTGTATTTATAGCTCGAAATAACTCATGTTATTGATTTGATTGCGCTGTGTTGGTTTAGTTGGTTATGCATGATTGTAAGCTCTCTTTTAATCCAAGAAATCTGGTCCGAGCGCCTGGATTAGATCAAAGGCGCCAATGGTCCAACAATCAGTCCAATCCCATCAAATCATGAGGAATAAGAAACATCGAGTGCATCAGTGCGCTTTTAGAAGATTAGCCAAAATAATTGAATTCAATCCCGGGACATTATTATGCACTCAAATACTACAGGATTAGGAGCAAACACCATTACGTACACTTCCGAGCCACGAGCCGCTACATCACACTGCAGACTCTATTTAATGCGAAACCGATAAGACAATGAAATCGTTTGTTCCAAGAAATAGCAATTTCCTTTAAAACTGAATCTTAAGTCGCAAGCTTCTGGGTCGAAGATATTAAAAAACTGAAGGGGAAGTTTCAATTTCCTTGCAATGGAGTAAGAATAAAGTTGTTTGTTTTGTCTAAAGTTTTTAGTGTGTTCGCGAGATTTCCTCTGGGAACAATAATTAGCGCTCATTTACGTTATATTAGTTATATATACAGTATGTTAGGTTAAACGAGGGACATATTTAAACCCATAATAGTGTATACTCACATGAACCTAACAAACATATAAACGAAACGAAAACACTAATAAATAACAGACAGCACCATAAAAACGCTTCCGCTTACGCTTACGGGTTTCGGCTTAGCGGGCTTAAGCGCGCTCTATTCTTTTTGGCAAGATAGGCGCATGATTTGCAACGCGAGTTACTTTATGTAAGTACTGTTTCTGTTTACAAGTTCACTTGTTGCGCGCTCAGTGTTCATGATGATGTATTTTATTAGACAATTACCTCAAAAATTTTGGTTATAGGTTTTTTACATATTCGGGACGAGAATCGAATACTGAATACCCTCCCTCAATAAGTCCCTCGTTTAACCTAACACACTGTATATATATAACCTGTTTGATGTGTTGATAAACTTTGGAGCTTAACGTTTTATACTGACAATGAACGAGTGTGCAAAACAGGTATGTCGTTTTTTTTTTATATCACGACGGTGACAAAAACTCACACGGCCCATCTGATGGTAAGCGGTTACCGTGGCCTATGTACGCCTGCAACACTTGGGGCATTACATGCGTCTTGCCGACCCTTAAGAAACCTATTCACTCCCCTATTGAAGAATCCCCTGTTGTAGCCCACTGGGAAAACCCCTGTCTTTATATTGGGTTACTATTTTTTTGTTAAGAAATCACTGCGCATCACTACCTACTACTATTTTATGTGCAATATATATTGTAAAACATTTGTATTATAACTTTCGTGAGACATACTAAATAAATTATTATGTTTTCGGATTACTCACGTAATTATTTGAGGAGGAACTCGACTAGTTTCAAGCCATGCTAGAGGCTGCAACTTGCCGGATTACCGCCGTGGGATCTGGAGGCGAAGGTGCTCGCGCGCGTGTATAGCATGCGCGCGGAGGCACGTCGCCGGGGCGAAACTCCACTGTCACTCACACAATGTCAATCGCAATCATTATATATATAGCATGATAGCTCACCGAACATTTCTCCAGCATCATATTAGCGACCACTATCTACACTGTATGACAAATGACGTCCCTATATCGTAAGGGTGCAGGCAAACTGTTCAATTTACTGAAAAATTGGCATCTACAGCACATTGATCAGTGGTCAGCCCGTCCTATACGAACGTGACCCACTTTACTAAACCATTCGGTGGACTCTTTCATCTAGTCTAGTCTCCTGACATTGATATATGCAGTTTTAACTGAACTACTCGCTTCTCTGATGTGGCTCCAACTTGTTTTGTTTTTACTTTTGTACTGTACCGTCGGCTTTTCCAGATAAATGTGTGAATACAGGGAATTCTTTTGCGTTTATTTGTGTCCGGAAAAGTGATGTTTGGTGTTCTCGTATTCTAGTCAGAATAGCTAGTTGACGAACAGTTGTTCGGGATACGAGAAGTGCAAAACCACAATTAATATTTCAATTAAAAGTTACCTACACAATTACACATTTCTTCATTACAAATCACACCATCAAGACCAACAATTGACAGGGTATGAAAATTAAAAATATAATTAGTCCGTAAGTTAGGTAATGAAAAAATATTAGACACATATTTTTTTATTTTGTCGTATAATACAACAATACTTAGATAAAACGAATCAAAGTTTATGAGTGGGGGCTAAAACGTCATTTCTACGTATAAAATGTGCATAGAAGTGACGTCACGCGACATTTTAAATCGATATATCGTCGAAAGTATTCGTTTCTGTTAGAAAATAAAAAATACGTGTCTAATGATTTAAAATAATCTACCAGACGGACATTAAAATAAAAATTAGGAATCTACCCTATTATCATACGTAATCGGCGACAATATTAACATAGAAATAAGCTATGTATTTAAAAACATAAAACTTTTTTGATAAATACAACTTTTAACAACTACGACGCGAAGTTTTACAATCAAA